AAATTAACCTGTGATTAGTGCACGTAATCCAAGCCTAATTATATTTTGAACATCGTACTGTACGAACTGGATCGTACCATACGATGAACAGAGACGAGGTTTGATCGTCCCGGATATCGTCCTGGACGATCTCTTGGTTTTTGTCTCATCGTACTATACGATAGTAATCGTACCATACGATGAACAGAGACGACATCTGGTCGTCCAGACCATCGTCCTGTATGAATAGTATTTTGTGGATCGTACCGTACGATAATATATCGTACAGTACGAATTGTTTTTTAACTGTTCGTACATCTTCGTACGAGGACGAAGTCTGTTTATGAAGATCATACTGTACGATGTTGAATCGTACTGTACAAACAGTAACGACTACTTTTGAAATCAGAGGGATTTTGGAGCCCGTTTTAGGTGTTAATCTCGTCCTTTTTCAGTAAGATTTACAGAGAGGAAGAACGTGGTTAGAGAGGGATTCCAAGGGAGAGAGCTCTGGAGAAGTTCTTTAGGGTTGAGAGAGGAAGGAGAAGGTGAGCGTTGTGAGGGAGAAGAGGTTTGAGGGAGATCACACGGTTGCTCCGAACTTGCTGCATCTTGCTACTCCTGTGGCCCTAGAAGAATTTGAGGGAGGATCTCCAAGGGAAAGGCTCGTCTACATCCGTGACCTCGAGGTTCCCTGCCTTCTCCAGGAGGGAGAAAAACGAGAAGGTTCTCTGCCGTCGCCAGGAGGGCGAAAACAGAGTTTGGCACTCCGCCACGCCGGGTTGGTGAAAGGGAGGTTTGTAAAGGCTTCTCCGCCTTGCCGAGGGGGGCAAAAGGAGAACTATATTTGGTAGTGAAAATCTCAGAGCGGATGACTCCGGGGAGTGGACGTAGGTCATATTTTGACCGAACCATTATAAAAATCCTTGGTGTGTTTTTTCCTTATCGTCATTTACTTTTACTTGCACTTAATTTTTTTTTCATAATTATTGCGTGGTGAAATTTGTGGAAGAAAATTTGTTTAAGTTTTTGTTGTCAAATTTCAAAAATAAAAAAAAAAAAGATTAGAACTCCTGTTTAGGGTTACTTTTTATTGAAAAAAAAGTTTTTCACAATTCATCCCCCCCTCTTGTTAGTAATTTCAATTGGTATCAGAGCAATTACAATCTCATCGCAAGGATGACATCAATGCTCCCCAGCTCTAATGGGAGAAACTTCTCCCTCAACTGGATTTCTTGTATGGTCAAGACCACTCTCCTATATACCCCTCCACCTATCTCCATCTTTCAGGTTACTATCATCACCCCATAGCCTCCTGTATCCACCAGTTTTAGCCCTAATAGGTCTACATCCTGGTTGGAGATGAAATTGTAGGTGGCCCCAATGTCTATCAGCACAACTACTTCATTGTTTGTTATTTCTCCTTTCACCTTCATAGTGTGATTCGGAGTGAACCCCACCACTGAGTTCAATGAGACCTCAGTCATGTCTAAATGCACCATTTTTTCCTCCTCCGATGTCTTACTCCCACCTCCCTCTTCAGCTTCCTCATTATTAAAGACACTAAGAACCTGAGGAGTTTAATCCTTACACTTGTACCCTCGAGAAAACTCCACCGCTCCTCCCTCATAGCTTCTCTCTAAAAGGATATTGTTTGGGTTCTAGGAGCTAGGGTTGTAGGGGTACTCTGTTAGGCCCCTCCCATGTCGTTACTTTTGATGGCTTTCTCCCTCTTTCATTTTTCCTCCACCCTCATAGCCAGTTCTGTCATCTCTCTTAATCTCCTAGGCCTCAATACCATGAGTTCTGGTCATATGTCCTCCCTAAACCCATTCATGAAATTCCCCTTGAATCCTTCCTTAGAGATTCCCTACAATCTCCCTGAAAATGGTTCAAATTTCTCTCGGTACTTCATAATTGTCCCTTCCTGAGTTAGAACAAAGAACTGCTCGTGGAGGTCCCCTTTCCAGATGGCTAGGAAATGTTCCAATATCACTCCATTGAAACTAGGCAAGGGCTTTCCCTTACAAACATAGACCTGCCGCCATAAGTTTCTCCCCTTCAGTCAACCCATTGATGGCGAAGTAACATTCCACTCGGTACACCATCCCTGAACAACTTCCACTTCAAAGGCCGGCATTTTTAGCTTCCTTTCCCTCGTATCCGTACCCCATTGATTTCTCATTAATTCCCCTAGTGTAGTGGTGGTTTGATACCCTTCCTTCCTCCCTTGGTTGGTTTTTGACCCCATGGCTCCCCCCAATCATGTCCTTTTCCATTCCACCTTCCCCCATGCCCGGGTAATCTCCCAAAAGGGTCAGCTTCCCTCCTCCTTGCTATCCTCCCTTCAGAATAACCCAATCCACCCACCAATGAGGCTCCACGTGGCGGTCATCGATGGAAAACAATCTAATTCCTCGTTGTCCTCCTAAATCTCCTTTCCTTATGGTTCCACCTTAGGAAACATCGGTGATGCTTTCGATTACATCGCAAGCATCTTTTTCATCATCTCTTCAAAGTTCCCAAAGTGGTTATCGATGGCCGAAAGTCTTCCCTCTACCCCGGAATATTTTTCCTCTACCCCGGACTTGAATTATTCTATCTCGCCCTACAACACATCCATCTTCTTTGCTGTCATTAATTGGATATAGGTTCCAATTGCAAATACAAAAAAGAAGATTTGTTTTTTCGCCCAAGAAAGTGTTCTGATACCAATTTGAAAGGAAACCAGTAAAAAAATTGAAGAACTAGTAGCTGAAATTAGTTATTTCAACAAGAACAATAAGGAAATTAAAGAAATCCATTGGAAAATCAATAGGAAAACTCAATATTATATGAAAAGTGAAAGAAAACAAGCAAGATATAATGGATCTTCAATTTGGGAGAAAGATCTGGCTCTCCCAATCTCTAGCCGGCGGCTAGAGCCCAAGAAAAACCTAGAAAGCTCCTAAATGCAACAAATATCAACATAACCCTAACCCTAACTCTTTCCCCTTATTTAGAGAATACAAAATTAATGCATAATTACTAAAAAGCCCTCCTTAAATTAATTTTGCTACTAAACCTCCCCCTCCTATTTGAAAATTGTTTTAATTCATGGGCCCCACAAAGGGGCTGGCGGCATCCTGGTTTGCCTGGCATAGACAAGTTGCCGGCCCTGGTTTAGAACCAGATGGACCCATCGAATAGCAGCATACAAAAACACTGCACCAATGACTAAACAAAAAAATTAGAAAGGAATTTGACCGCCGCATGCCAGGAGAATATCAGAATGCCCGAAAACAGAAAAAAAAAATAGAAAGAAAATTAGGAAAAAGAATAACGGAAGGCAAGCTCATTTCCCTATAGGAAACCAAATCAATTCATGAGAACAGAGCAGAAGGATTCTCGCATCATTTATCAGCAAAAATCACCAAAACAAATTACTCGAGAATCATCCTCAAGGAAGTAAATACAAATTAATAAATTCCATCTAAGAAATCATAAAGCACTTTGAAAAAAAATTATAATAAGGCACATTAATAAATTTCCATCTAAGAAATCGTTAAGCACCTTCAAAATAAATTATCAAAAGCCTCAATTTAACACTTGTATCTCAAATGTCAAATCACATCGTGGTGGGGGCAAGAAATATAGGGAGCCTATACCCTCGTCCACACAAAAGAGAATACCGAAACGACCCACTAAATCACGAAATGACGAAGAAGAAGAGGAAGAACAAAAGGAAGAACAAACTCTTACAATAAAGCTAAAAAGAATAAATTACAAAACACGCAAAATTACGACGACTTACAAACTTTGACTCATAAACCAAAGACACCCTAAAGTTGCTTTACTTAGAGAAGAGGGATACAGGTGGAGTGAAACTTGCGGAGAGATGAAAGAGATTAGAAGCCGAGACGAAAGGTTGGAAAGAGCTCGCAAGATTTCCGGAGGGGATGAGAAAGAAGACGGACAAAGCTCGCAAGCTTTTCCATGAAACCCGCAGGTTTACATTTCCAAAAATCACATAACATTCAACTATTTTAAAACATAACAAGCCCCTCATATTTATAGTTATGAAAGGGGAATACAAAATGACACTAACAATGAATTCACATAGGAATTCTAAACATCACAAACATTAAAACCCAAATGCTTCTCATGGAAAAACAGTCCAAGCCCAAGAACCGAAGGAGCAGCCGCGGGAGCCAAGGAGGCCGCACGGAACCAAGGCGCCAAAGCTACGGGAAAACCCCCTAGCTCGGAAAACCAACAGCCACCGTTGGAAACAAGGAGACAATGCACGGAAATCAGCCACCCGTGGAAGCCAAGGAGCCAAGGCATGGGAAAACAAAACAAATCTTGGGATTCCAAAAGCCATTTTGGAATCCCAAGAGACAACTTTAATTTAAGATAAGACAATAAATAAAAAGCTACATAAATACGATAATAAATGAACTAAAACCTAGCTAATAATGAGCTAACTCTTAGTTCAATAAATGAACTAAAAATCATCTCATAAATAAGCTAAATTCCAGCTCAAATTTTATTGAGCTTGAAAACTCGAGGGAGGCAAAAATTGATTTATTTTTGACATGAGTTGACCCCCCCCCCCCTTTGTCTACATCACATCGTAACCTAACTAACAACATAAAGTTCAATTAAATTTCAAAATATGCAAAATGTCAGAATTGAACCCCTCAAAGAACCATCATACAAAAAATAGATTCCTTACAATGAAACCAAACGTACAGAATTTGTCTAAATGATATTGTTTCAAGATGTAAGAATTTATCCAAATGTAGAATCATATAAATCACATAAACAAAGCATAAGATAGAAAACAAAAATAAATCATTAAATTAACAATCCGGTTCATTAAACCGATGTGTTGCATGAAATAAACATAATTATGCACATTAAACTTAGGTGTCGAGCAAAGTCATGAATCAATTTTTTCACAGGTTAAAATTTTAGGCCATCTAATAAAATTTTCAGTATTTTATCTATATGATACAGACTGGAACAGAGAATAATACCTTTCGGTAAAGCCGTGATTCAGCTGCTTGCAATCTATTGAATGCTCTCTTGTCTTCATTACTAAGAGTTCTATAAAGTGAAACTGAAGGGATGCTGCATAAAGTCTTAAGGAAACACATGAAGTACGAACCAAGGTCACTCAGCTCAAGATTATTCACAGAACCACCCAATTCCTCTTTTTGGGCATCTTCCAACAATAATTGAAGCTCCTCAATGCACATCGTGCATAAAGAACTGGAACTGGCTACTTTTGGCCACTTAAACTTCTCTTGCAACTCAAATGATGTAACTTCAGTGCCCAAAGATGCAGAAAATAAGCCCTGAACTGCAAGAAACTTTACTATCTCTGTCTGAACTTTAAGTTTCTCCTCCAAAAAGTTACCTGATTCAGTTTGTGCTGAAATGCCCAGTTTCATACCAACTTTAAGATTTTTCAAAACATGAGGCATCGTATTAATGATCCAAATCTTGAGAGAATCCATGTTTCCTGATGCTCCTGGAGAGCCTTTATCCTCTGTTGATCCCACTTCTGAATTTTCATCAGTTGTATGACTTTGATCAGATGGTTCATCTGTAATGCCTGCTTCATCTACAAACAAGTTCATCAAATTATGAACAAAATGCAAACAACTTTTGGAAGTTCTAAATTTTGAGACCAACTTCTTAACAATATCCGTCCTTGTGATGCAATCAAACCTTCCATTACTGTACTTTTGCAGGCACACAATTATTGTTGCACGCCTATCATCCTCAATGTTAGCCCAGCAAATTAGTTCATTCATGAAAAGCTGAGCAGCATTGTACAACCATGAACTTTTGGTTGAAAGTATGTCCATTAAACAGTGAACAAGCTTGTGAGAGAGGACACTATTAATGCAAGATGCTGGTAGACGTGGGAGGAGAAGCTGAAGAATGTTTAGTGCCAAATGCTTCCGATCATGAGATGACTGAAGAAGAATTCCTTCGATAACCACTTCACAGAAACACCTAATGTTTTTTATGATATCTTCAGATGAACAACATTTTCGGCTCTTCTTATTTTTCATACTACAATGTTCTACATCAATTTGAGATTTAGCATCCGGTATAAGAATATTTATAACAAAATGCCAAATACTGTGTACACGTGGCAGACAAAAGGTTGATTCCTGAGTAAGAAGAAAAAAATACATAGCGCGAACATAAGATCACATCACATGGACAAGGAAAAATAAGTAAATCTATAAACTTATTATCACATTACACAGTAAGAAAATAGGTTTACATTTAAGAATAAAGATCAAGTTAATCATACCAAAAATATCAACGAAAAGGATGAGGGATGTCATTGCATAAAAAATGCAAAATAAAGTGCGTATGCATGCACGTGTTTATATGTATATATGTTAAAGAAACGATTTTTAAAAATTAGATCAGTATGGAAAAAACTAAACAACTATGTTCTTGAAAAAACTACCTTGAAACACTTTTCGAGAAGTTGCAGATTGTCTCGAGAAAAGAAATTTTCAGCATTAAGGGGGTGTGGAAGAAGCTCGCCAAAAGTTTCTCTGTCCATTGAAACTCTTTCTTGTAACTTCAATGCAAGAAACAGGGCATCAGGATTTCCAGTTTCAGCAGCTTTTAGAAACCATTCTTGCATGCCAGGAGCTATAAGAACGTGACTCTTAATAGCTTCAACAGGTAGCTGCGAAACAAGAATATACGCCATCAGCCAAAACAATTCTTTCACCTAATTTTAACAACAAAAACAAAAAGATAGAAGAAAAACTTCATATACAGCTTGTCAGTTTTAACCAGCTTCCTGCATTAGTTGCAGCAAACTGGCATGACCAACTTGAATGCAATGAAACTACAAGGAAAACAGAACTAAGTGAAATATAAGATCAGCCGGTTTGAAAAAAGCTTATGTAACGAGAAACCATTTCCATAGAAGAGCTATACGGTCATATTATGGGCCAAGCAATAGTTGCTAGAGGCCAGTGAAATTCAAGCATTTAAATTCATCTCAAGGATACATAATGGAAAGAAATCAGATATATAACTTGACATTTAGAAGATATATGACATCAATAAGAAGCAACAAAAATTAACTCCATTTGTAATCCAACAAGTCTTATAACACAAATACAAATCAACACCAATTGTTATATAAATGATTGCCGCAAGCTATTACAAAATCCAACATAAAAATGGGTGCATTCGCTAGGAATTAAATGACCGGAGAAATAATATGCAAACACTAATAAAGTTTTAAAAGCACGAAAAGATATTGGCACCTAAGCTGCAAAATCTAAGAAACAGAAAAGTTTTGAAATGTTTTACCAAAAAGATCATTATATAAGGTCAGTTATACGTGTGCATATATGCATAGTTAATCCCAGATGCACTTTCAGATCCGTTAGTAGACATACTCTATAGAAAAATTAAATCCCATATTTCCTCAATCAAACATCAGATATGTCCTACAAACAGCATCAATACATGCAAAATGTGACAGAATATTCACATTTATGCAAATGCGGGATAATCCTCCCACAACTCCAGCAACATATAACCCTTAAAAAACCACAAGGGTCAAATGCTTGTTGATGCATGACATCATAATTTCCTAACACAGATCTATGATTAAGATGCACAATTTTGGAACATCCCATTGCACTAGGTTAGAAAGAATCACATCCAGCCAACACTCAAGCAAAATGTATAGTAAAATCTAAGTAGAATAAGTATAATAATTTTTACATGCCTTAGAGTCCATATTTATAATCATAAAGCCTTCCCTTAATTTACAATTTTAAAAATCATAAGAACAATAGCAGCATTACGCCAAGACAAAAATCCTTCAGGAATTAATTAATAGTCACATGCAGTCGTAGTCTTGAATTGGAATCATATCATCTAATTTAAATTGGAAATTAACAATATCCTCTAACCCAAATTTAACTCTAATAATATTAACTAATATAAATTTAAAATTAGTATTATCATAAATCAAGATGTTTACCTAATTTAAATAAAAAATAGATAAAATCTCAATCTAACTCAATTTAGACTTGGGTTTTTATTGTATTTATTTTATGAGGTCAATTTTTATTACAATTGAGTAAATATCATCCATTTGAATAATCCTAGTTTTTAATTTAAAATAGATAAAAACCTATATTCAAATTTGGATTAGAAGATGAAATTAGATTTCAATTTAAATTACTCTCTTTCTATAATAAGATATTATAGATATTATAGATATTATGATCAATAGGAAGATAAATATTATGTGCATTCAGGAAACTAAATGGGTTGGAGAGAAGACTAAGGAGATTGATAAGTTACGATATAAACTTTTTTTTTAATTTTTTTTATGTTATAAACTATGATATTCTGATAGGAGTCGTACTAGAAATGGTGTAGTGTGATTATAGATAAGAGTTTGAAGGATAATGTTATAAAAATTAACAGAATTACATATAGAATTATAGCTTTAATTATTGTTGTTGATGGTATCAAAGAAAATGAAGTGTGAAAAAGCTATTGAACCTGATGATATTCCAATAGAGATATGGAAATGCTTAGGAGATGAATGACCTTCTTAATTTACTAAACTTTTTAATACTATTTTGAAGACTAAAAAGATGTCAGATCAGTGGAGAATGAGTGTGTTAATTCCTCTTTTTAAGAATAAAGGTGATGCACAAAAGTGTGCGAATTATAGAGAAATTAAGTTAATGTGTCATATTTTAAAACTATGGGAGCGAGTTATGGAGCATTGGTTTCAACGTGATACTAATGACATGCATTTATTGAGAAGTTTGATGGAGAAATATAGAAAGAATAAGGAGGTTCTACATATGATATTTATTGATTTAGAGAAAGCAAATGATAAAGTTCCAAGAGAAGTGCTATGGAGAGTTCTTTAAAAGAAAGGAGTTAATAACGCTTATATTCAAATGATTAAAGATATGTATGCAGGAGCAATTACTTGTGTTCAAACACAATGAGGTTTGATCAAGTATTTTCATATCTCGGTTGGATTACATCAAGGATCAGCCTTAAGTACATACCTTTTTACTTTAATTATGGATGTTCTCACTAGACATTTGCAAGAGGATGTACCTTGGTGTATGCTTTTTGTTGATGATATTCTTCTTGTTGATAAGACTAGAGAGCGAGTTGAAGGTAAACTTGAATTATGGATGTCAACCATAGAGTCTAAAGGTTTTCACTTGACTAGATCTAAAACTGAATATATGGAGTGTAATTTAGTAGCAATAGACCTAGTGAAGAGATTGTGACTTTGGTCAATCAAGTTATTAATAAGAGTACACGTTTTAGATATCTTGGATCTAATGTTCATAGTGATGGTGAAATAGACGTGGATATTATCAGTAGAATTCAAGTTGGTTGATTGAAATGGAGGAATGCATCAGGCTTGTTGTACGATAGAAAAGTCCCCCTCAAACTTAAGGGAAAATTCTATAAGATGGTGGTGAGACCTGCAATGCTTTATGGTGTCGAATGTTGGCCATTAAAAGAGAAGCATAATACTAAGTTAAGCGTTACAGAGATGAGGATGCTGAGGTGGATAAGTGGCTTTACCCTTAGAGATAGGATACGAAATGAGCATATACATGAAAAGGTTAGAGTAGCTCCAGTGGAAGATAAGATTAGAGAGAGTCGTCTTATTAGATGGTTTGGCCACATTAAGCGGAGGCCTACTGATGACCCGATTAGGAAAGTTGAGGTATTAGATTTGACTTATGTTAAGAAAAGTAGAGGTAAACATAAAAAGGCTTGGATAGAAAATATTAGAAATGATCTTTTTTTATTAGATTTAAATGAGAATTTGACTTTTAAAAGGACATAATGACGAAAAAGGATTCATGTAGCCGACCCCACGTAGTGGGACAAAGGCTTGATGTTGTCGTTGTTGTTGTTATAATAAGATATAGACGATGTTATTTTCAAAAAACTATTGTTGTAAGGACCCAAGTCCTAGATGAAAAAAGTGAACGGTTGTGTTAGGTAGTCAACAGTCAGCGTAAAACTTGTCAAATAATCATGACATTAAGACTTTAATACATTGTATTAATGCTAAAGCATTTCCTGAAAGCAATGCTCTATATGGCCTAAATGCAAGGAGAAGTGTGCAAGGGCCACGGCTCGATGTTCGGTTGCAATGTTAAATAGGCAAGGGTTCCCACATCATGGACGGATGTGTGTAAAGAAGCTAGCCCATGAAACGGTAATTAGGATAGGATCTTAAAATATAAGTTCCCTTAAAGGAAAATTAATGGAATTAATAAATATTATGATTCATAGGAAGATAAATATTCAATGCATTCAGAAAAGTAAATGGGTTGGAAAGAAAGCTAAGGAGATTGATAGTTTAGGATTTACATTATGATATTATGGTAAGAGTTGTACTAAAAATGGTGTAGTTGTGATTATAAATAAGAGTTTGAAGAAAAATGTTGTAAAAATTAATATAATTAGAGATAGAATTATAACCGTAAAGATTGTTGTTGATACTATGATTATTAATATTATAAGTGTTTATGTTCTTCAAGTAGGTTTGAATATGTGTTCAAAATTTTAATAGGGCACAATGGAGAAAAGGAGTTCATGTAGCTGCCCCATATAGTGGGATAAAGGCTTGATGTTGATGCTCCTCAAGTATATGTAGATATGTATTCAAAATTAAAATTTTGAAATGCTTTGACAAGTTAATTCAAAAGATACCTCTTGAAGGATAATGTTGGTAGAAAGATGATTTTAAAAACATTCATGGTGGTTATGGGTTTAAAGTTACTAATATATATGGTAAGACCATATTAGTTTTTTCTATAGCTTATAATTTTGCAATTGCTAATATCTTGTTTAAGAAAATAGATGAACATCTAATCACTTATAAGAATGGATAAAGTAAAACTCAGATTGATTACTTTCAATCTTTCAGCGTGTTACTGAGGCGTTCTCATCAGGAGATGAGACTCTTCCGCCATAGGAGAATTGATGCAGTCAAGGATTATCATTTTATATTTTTATTTTATTTATGTTTTGGACTTCATATAATTTTTTGTCTATGTTTCTTTTTATGAGCCCTATGATGAAAAAACCAGTGATCCTGCTTGGGTTTGGTGCTATTTGGTAATTTCTCTCCTTTGTTTTCCATTTTTGATCTTGTTCTCTTGTTTATTTATTGGCTTAGTAGACATTTATTTTTGGGTTGAAATTTCCTTAATGGGCTTGGCCCATTTCATTCCCTTCCTCTTGGTTGCTTGGTGTTCCATGCTTATTACGGTTTGTCTTTTGCTAGTTGGAATTCCTTCTATTTCCCATGCAGCTGGCGATTTACTTTTGCTGTTTGGAATTCCTATAGTTGTCCATTCCCCTTCCTTTGTGTTGTTTCCATGTTTTGTGTTAACTTCTATTGGGTATTTGGGGTGGCTCATTTATTGGGTTGTTGGGTCCTTTTTCCTCCTATATATGGGGTTGTTTACTGCAGGAAAGGAGGTTTTGTTGGCTGAAATCTGATTGAAACCGGAGGGTTTTCTTCCTAAGCATGAGAGCTTTCTTTTCCTACACATATTTCTTCTTTTGGTCTTCTATCTATTTTAACTCTCCACAGTTTCCCTTCCACTTGTATCATTTTTCTCCAAATATAAAGAGTGGTGTGTTGTTGAGCCGGTTTGTTGGTATTTGCCAGAGTGCCGACCTGTGTTGGAACAAGATTGCTGTGATGAACCTCTAGCTAGATTTTTCCTTTAGCAACAATCTCTAATTTTCAAATCTAGATGTGAGGTGACCTTTTTAGGTTTTTCTGAGGAAAGTTTATGTTTTAGTTTGTCTATTGCAAAGTTTCCTTATTGTTTTCTTATAACTATTTCCTATTAAGTTTTTTTTTTCTGTTTGAGTTGGTTTATGTTTCATTGAAAGAAGTGTCCTGTTGTATTTCTAGTGTTTTCCTACTTGGCTATAGAATTTAGGTTTACATCATTTTCTTATAAGAAAAAAAGATCATTCAGATTGTAAAGATTATAAAGTTATTCCGAGTGAAAGTTTATGTACCCAACATCGCTTATTAGTTTTGGATGTTAAGATGAAGAGGTAGAGCATAAAGAATAAAATAAAATATTATTTTAGAATTAGATGAGACCTTTTAAAAATAGTAACAAAAATATTTTTTAGCGTAACATTCTAAATCATAAGATGTTGTCTATGCAAAAGAAAGTTAATATTATGTGGGAAAAAGTAGCTAGTGATATTAAATATGTTGCAAAAAATGTGCTTTGAGTATCAAAGAAAAAAATCTCCTAATATAAAAATAGTTGATGGCGGAATCAAAATATGCAAGAAAATAAATAAGATGATTTTTTTATAAAAATTGGTTTAGAAAACTCTGATAATTGGAAAAGATATAAAGAGGCTAATAAGGAGTCTAAGAAAACAATATCCAACGTAAAGATTTTAGTTTTTAATAATTTATATAATAAATTAGATATTAAGCAAGGCAAAAGAAATATTTATAAGTTAGTCAAACAATATTAGTAAGAATTTAGTGTAAATGAAGTGCATTAAGGATAAAAATAAAAAAATACTTTTATTTGAAGAAGATATTCAACAAAGGTGGATGAGATATTTTTCTCAACTTTTCAATGAAGATCATGAGAATATAATTGACTTCAGTGACCTTAATATCCTAAATGAAAATAAAGATTTTTATTTTTATCGACACAATTAATAAAACTGAAGTTAGAGAGGCTTTAAAAAAAATAAGGCATTGAAAAGTTATTGGACCTAATGATATTCCAATAGAGGTGTAGAGATGCTTAGGAGATGAAGAAATTTCTTTGCTTACTAAACTTTTTAATATTATTATGAAGACTAAAAAGATGTCGGATGAGTGGAGAATAAGTGTGTTGATTCCTATTTTTAAGAATAAAGATGATGCACAAGATTGAACGAATTATAAAAGAATTAAGTTAAAGTGTCGTACTTTGAAACTTTGTGAGAGAGTTATGTAGCATAGATATCGACATGATACTAATGTTTCTCAAAATCAATTTGGATTCATACAGGTAAGTCTACTATAGAAGCTATACATTTATTGAGAGGTTTGATGGAGAAGCATAAAGAGAATAAGGAGGATATTCATATGATATTTATTGATTTAGAGAAAGCATATGATAAAGTTCCAAGAGAAGTGTTATGGAAAGTTCTAGAAAAGAATGGAGTTAATAATACTTATACTCAAGTCATTAGGAATATGTATGCAAGTGTTGTTGCTTGTGTTCAAACACAAGGTGGTTAGACCAAGTATTTACCTATTTCTATTGGAATACATCAAGGATCAACCTTATGCCATTTTTGCTTTAGCCATGGATGTTCTCATTAGACATTTGCAGGAGGTTGTACCCTGTTGTATGTTTTTTGCTAATGATATTCTTCTTGTTGATAAGACTAAAGAGGGAGTTGAAGGTAAACTTGAATTATTGAGAGGTCAACCTTGGAGTCTAAAGGTTTTCGTTTGAGTAGATCTAAAACTGAATATATTGAGTGTAATTTTAGTAGTAATAGATCTAGTGGATGTTTTGTGACTTCAGGAAATCAAGCCGTCAATAAGAGTACATGTTTTAGATATCTTGGGTCTATTGTTCAGAGTGATGGTATAATAGATAGGAATATTATTAGCAAAATTCAAGTTGGATGGTTGAAGCGGAAGAATGCACTGGCTTGTTGTGTGATAGAAAAGTCTCCCTCAAACTTAAGAAATATTCTATAAGATGGTGGTGAGCCTACAATGCTTTATCGTGCAGAATGTTGGCCATTAAAAGAGAATCATAATATTAAGTAAAGTGTAGCAGAGATGAGGATGCTTCAGTGGATGAGTGGCTCTACTCTTAGAGACTGGATATGAAATGAGCATATACGGGAAAAGGTTGGAATAGCTCTAGCGGAAGATATGATTAGAGAGTCGCTTTAGATGGTTGGGTCATATAAGACGGTGGCCTTCCGATGACCTGGTTAGGAAAGTAAATGTATTAGATTTAGCTTATGTTAAGAAAGGTAGAGGTAAACCTAAAAAGACTTGGTTAGAAAATATTAGAAATGACCCTTCTTTTTTAGATTTAAATGAGAATTTAACTCTTAACATGACACAATGGAGAAAAAGGATTCATGTAGCCAACCTCACGTGGTGGGATAATGGCTTGGTGTTGTTGCGGTTGTTATATATATAATTCCAATCACATACATTAAATTTGTTTAATTATATTTGATATGTTAATTACATTATTAATCACTTAATTAAGAACGGAGCTTAATTTGAATATCATGAGTAATAAAAACTTAATTAATTTGTGAATTGGAAAAGTATTCAATCCTAAAAGTTGCATATACCATTAAATTTGCTTACATAGGTCTTGATTATGCTAATTATCTAATAATGTTATCCATGAATTTGTACTTAATTTTGATTAATTGGATTTACAAAGTTGTTTAGATGTTATTTTCTAAATAATATCATATGCTTTGATTTAAATTTATTATAATAGATTTAAAATAAAACTTTGCAATATTTATATTCCCTACCATCCAAGAGCTACTCCAGAACTCTTGCAAAAAGCACATATAGAAGCCACGTCAACGTGTACATGTCAAAGAGATGACTTTTCCCATCCAACCAAAAAAATACAAGTCAAAAAAACCATTGGAGGCTGGTTTTGGGAGTTTCTTTTTAGTGCTTTGTAAATTGTTTTAAATGGATATTTAAAGGGACATTGAGACCTATATATACACCACAAATTTGAGAAAAAATGACTACTGGATGACTGAAAGATATAGCTTGTCATTGTAACATCTTTGTAAAAATTTCCAAGTGAAGAAATTAAAATGTCCAAAAAACCCATCATTGTTGGCTTCTACATTGGTAAATTTTTCATTCAATCTCTTGGTATTTGATAGTTATATTTTTATTGCATTTCTTTATATTTGTTTAGAGTGGATTGAATTGCAATTAAAAGAGATACTCATCAAGTTGCCTTCAAAATTCAAAAGAATTTGGTTTGATTTTTTATCTTGTAATCTATATGGGTTGTGCCAAGTGGATCCTGGCAGAGCTCTCGTAAAGCTTCATGGAAGATGTGCTTGCCTTTGATCATTTAAAGAGTACTATTTCCCTACAATGAAGGTGTAAAGGTTTATCCCCCTCCCAATTTGTAACAAAGTGGACTTGTAGTTGCAAGTTTATATAGACTATAGAGTAGTCCTAAGTTGATGGAGAGCTTGGGAATGAATATAAGATGATTCGAGGCCAAACCACATAAAAAAATTCGTGCCAAATTTTCTATTTAGCTTAGATTTAGTTTCCTTGCATATTTGCTTATTTTTTAAACATAAATGTCAAAGTGGCGGATGGTGTGATACTTGCTTTTATGCTTGCATGCAGAGTAGATCTTTTAACTTGATTAATATGATCTTACACACAGCATAAACCTTTATAAATCATCTTGTTATAATTTGGATTTGTATGCTTGTGGTTTTAATAATTTCTTTAGCTAATATAGTTGAGTGAGCAATTCATATTTTGCTTAATAGACATGACTCACTCACTTGCTTACCCCTTTAGACATATAAATTAGTGTGCGGATGCCACCTGTAAGATTTGATCATTTAAATATAAGTGTGTGCTTGCTCATATATTATTGAGTGTAACATCCATAAAAATTGTTTTTCTCACTTGAAAACTTATTTGTATGAATTTCTCCACATTCTGCATATTAGATCTCACATAATTGTACACACATAGTCATATATTTGACTATACCTTTATGGCTTCCTTCAACATTGTGATTTTGAGAATTTAAATTGGTGAATTTCAAAAGAAGTTCAACGTGTCTATTACACGATCAACTCCCCCCTTCTTAGAAGGCCTTACTCCACTTTAAAAGTATACAAAATAACCCCACCAAATATTTAGAATAAATGACAACTAACTTTCATAATGGTGGATTTCTGTACCCACGGAAAAAGAATTTTAGAATTGAATTTCATCAAAAAGGCTAGCAATTACATTTTATACTTAGAACAGCCACATAGCTTAATATCACAAACCTAACAACATTAAGATACATACCTTTTCCAACATATCCAATATCACTGCAACTGCTGGCTCGTGTAAGTAACGTTTCTTCTGTGCAAGAGAGATAACAGCGCTAGTAAATTCTCTCATAACAGGTGTATTTTTATCAAAAATCCACTCTGTGGCTAATCGATGTGATCTAGCAAGCGATCCATATGCAAAAAGGTGTCCTAAATAACAGTCTCTAGCTTCCTACAGTACAAAATAAAAAATTAATGGTCAGGGTCACGAGTAGCTGATCAATTGAAAGGCTAGCATGTACATTACCAAACCCTTCATAGCAGAAGACACCTCCAATAAGTTAATAATCAGTTTCATAACGGGTACTAGTTTAACTGCGGGAATCATCTCAACAACAACTGCTAAGCCCAAGGAAAACCCTTGTCTTGCACACTGCACAAAGACAATAATCTTTAGAAAAATTACAGATTGTGAGCTTTTCATGAATGGAAATGCGCTACTTTTTACTTTTGACTAGTTGTTGAATAGAGATTACACTATATGCAATGCAAGCCGAAGGGAACAAGCTGTACAGACAAGAAGAATTTTCTTTGAATATAGAAAAGACCTTAAGATGAAACAATAAATCAAAATGAAATTAAACCAAATGCAAAATCCACATTATATGCTTACCTCTCGTGAGGAAGAGACTCCTCGAATGAGCCGGCGAACAGCATATCTTAAAGAGGGAGCACAGCCTTCCAAACCATCATCCTTTTCAGCTTCAAGCTGTGGATTCTCCTCACTGTCTACATTGTTGTCTACATTGTTTCCAAGCTGCTCAAAAGCTTTTTGAACTTCAATCAATTCTCTCACCAATGTTTCTGCAGCAGCTTCTCTAACTAATGAATCAGAAGAAGCAAGATTCCTAAACACATCAATATGGAACACAGGAAAAACACTTGCTTGGGGAGAAGGCAGTTGCATTTGAATTACTGAAGCATTTTCACTAGTATTTTTTACATCTGATGGCCCCTTTGCCTCAATTACAAATTGGTGCCTCTCTTTATCCATCCCTTTTCGCTTCTTCTTCCTTTCCATGGGTTTCAAGGATTGTAATGCAGCCTGCAGGGCAGAGTTACCTCTCTCCCCGTTGGAATTCCCTTTTTGGATTTTCATATCAGATTTGGAATCATTATTCTGCTTTTCTTCTTCTCCATATGATTCTTGAATAGCACTAGATTGCCTCTTCTTGCTACCCATTAATGCCAAGGGTAATCCCTCAAAGATTGGACCTTCTAGTGAATTTGGACCAATTATGAAAGCTCTGCAGTTCAAACCATCAAATTACATATAAAGGAGGGTTTCCCCAAGAATAATAGATAATATAGAGAATGAAATATTGACCAATTAAACATTTAAAAAAGTAAATGTCTAACCAAATGAAATTTTGATGAATTAATAGAAATTCTAGCAACTGACATCATAGGACATATTGAGAAAAATCAACAAAAAATGAGTATTTTATGAAAGCTCAATAAGATAATTTCAACCTATTAAAGCATAAATGTCAACATATAGTGCACAAATATGATAAAAAAAAATTGCACAATTAACAATACAATAATATATCATAGCAATTATAAACATTGTATAGTCTAAACTTGCTTGGAAAAAAATTAGCACATATGAAAAAAGCTCAATGATGATTATAATGTAGTATAGTTCATAAGAAATCATTTGAAAACTAGCAATCAATGCATTTGAATGTTATAAAATCCACAAGCATGCATATCATATTTCATCACACTCAAATATGCACAATGTAAATGTCTTATTAAAAACCAGTGTTATAAAAAATATTCTATGAGCAAAATTACAAATTTTAGTTAATATCAATAAAACATAGGATTATCTGAGCAAGATTTACTCTAAACTAACCAGATTTACTCTAAACTAACCAGAGCAACACATAGGTAAAATGAGTTATGTCATCAAAATGTCTATTTCAAATAAGAAAATTCATGCAGCAATTAACATTATATAGCTACGCAAGTAAAGATATAACACCAAGTGTCAAGAATAACATAGCTAACAAATATGCGCATCTATCATCTAATAAATAAAAGTTACGTACCTCAAAATGTAGAAATCAACTTTAACGCTCCCTGGATCAAAGAAATAACAACAGACAAGAAAAAAAAAAATTAAAAAAAACAAACTACATATATTTACACAGAAAAACTATAAGGTACAGTTTGGTAGGGGATTTAACATAAAAATGACAACTTCAAATCTTACATAATCTTAAATCACGTTTCTCTTACCTTAAATTCCGGTTCCAGAAAATTCAGCTATTCGACTGAAAGTATCATTAACACCTCTTCTTCACACCGCTGGTCAAGTCGATGCCTTTCCAGTAAGCTCACTGCGCTTCTTCCTCAGTACTTAGACGAGGGCTTTGGGTTTGGGGAAGTTCTCGGGGCTGTTTGGTATTGGATTTGCAGCAGGATTTACAGTAAATCCTGCCAAATAGAAAAAAATGGGCATCTTAATGCAAAACCAAATCTCACGGTAAATCAAAGACGCGGTTGACGGAAAATTCCCTCTTTTGTGGTAAATCCCGGATTTACGAAATCCTTTGGTTCGGCGGATTTACGGGATTTGGCCGAACAAGCGCGCGAAAGGGAGAAAGTTACCTTCACAGCAAGCGAGCTCCCGTTGTTGCTTCCGATCAAAAAATGTCGTAACTTCCGCTGCAACAGGAAGGGAACGTCGTCGAAGGAGCGAAGTCGAACAGCGACGAAGAACTCGTGCAAAACTCCACACTCCCGCGAAGGAACAAAGCCGAAATAAATAAAGATGGAAAGGCAAAACCTAGACTCCTCTGACTTATTGGATAAATTGATATAATTTCAAATATTAATAATTAAGTAAAATTAATTAAATAATTAAGTACATTATTAGTTAAATACTTATTTATTTTTAAATAATTAATAGGATTAAATATGATTATAAATAAAAATAATTATTATAAAATATTATAAATAATAATTAACATACTTAAATCTTTTAACCACCTTAAATGCTTTAATTATTCAAAAAATGCATATCAAATTTTTTAACCGTCTTAAATCCTGAAGTAAATAGTCAAACACTTACATAGGATTTATCATAAATGTTGTCAAACAATTTTTAGAATTTAATCCCCTTAGGATTTCGCAAATCTAGATTTATAGGATTTATTAAATCCTACTTAAATAAAATCTTGGGTGCTACCAAACAACCCCTTAAGAGAGCTCCCATCGTCGTCTATCTTTGTGACTTCCAATCTAACTCTTTTGAAGGAGGCGACGAAGCTTTTAGTGACCCGTTCAAAATTCTGTTGGACACGACGAGAAAGCCGAAACGAAGACGTAAAGGAAAAAAACATACCCTAGACTGGCCCAAGGAATGCAATAATTAAATGATTAGTTAATGATTTATTAATTTAATTAATTAGTGATAGAATCCGTAAATATTTAATTAGATAATTAATAGCATACTAAGTAAAAAAAGTTATTTAATTATACTTAAATAAGTAATTAAATTTATTAATAATGAAATCTGCTTCTAATTAATAAGTAACTTATATTTAAAATGTAAATTAAAAAATACATATAAATTAAATTTGAGTCTTAATGAACTAACCATCGTAAGTTGTGGAGTATATTGCTAAATAATTTTATAAAATTTAATAGGATTTAACATTTATCTTGCCAAGGATCGAGTTAATAGGCTTTGAACGCACTAATGATATACTAAATTCAAATTTACAGGATTTACTAAATCCTACTCATTGCCAAACAACCCCTAGGTTTTTGGATGTTGGTGTTCTAAGCAAGGCTTTTAAAATAGGACTGGACCTACCAGTTACGGTTCAAGTTATGACCGGTTTCGTAGAGAACTGGTGATGAACTGCTCGAACTGAATGTCCGACCGCCGAACCGGTCTCAATTTCTTGTAATCGGGCGATTCGCTATAGTAGAATATTTCTTCATGTCTCTGGCATCTTCTTCTCCGTCTCTAGCATCTTCTTCTCTGTCTTTAGTGTCTCTTCTAATCACGAAGCAAAACCTCATGTTCGTTTGCGAAGTCAACCATTCTGGTCTGTGAAGAACGATAGAACGAGAACCAGATTTAGAATAGTCTTGTTGTTCTTGAATGAACGAAGAAGGAAATGAAACGGGAAAATAGTAAAGTGTATTTCTTAATGTCTGAAACTGTGGTGTACATATGTATATATAGAGAATACAATAAGGAGATACATGTGTAATAAAATAATACGTAGCAAAAACCTGCCTGATGGGCTACATGTGTAATGAATAAAGACTAATTATTATTTGTGCCCTGATACTCTCCCGCAAGCTGATGGATTCGGTTGATGACAATCAGATTGGAGCGAAGCTTTTGAAATCTTGGTGTAGACAAAGGCTTTGTAAATATGTCTGCAATTTGATCGACATTGCTTATTGGAAGTAGCTTGATGTTATTTTGATGAATGTGATCTCAGATAAAGCGATGAACTATTTCAATATACTTGGTCCGCGCATGAAAAATAGGGTTGTTTGCGAGAGAGATGGCAGATGTGTTGTCGCAGTATAGATCAGTAAGTTTGTTCTTAGTGATGTCAAAATTAGTTAGAATTCTTCGTAGCCAAATTATGTATGTTGTTGCTGCTGTAAGAGACTGTATTTTGATTCGGTTGATGACCGAGCCAATGTTTGTTGCTTCTTGACGATCCAAGAGATTAGAGTCTTACATAAAAATGAACAATAATCTGAAGTAGATTTCCGGGAGATCGGATCGCCCACCAATCAGCATCCGAGAATGAGCTAAGATGAAGATCATGCTTGGTGATAGGTATGTCAAAGTTTTGAGTTCCTTAAATGTACCTAAGAAGTATTTTTAGAAGAAAGATATGAGAGGGAAGAGGATTGTTCGTATGTTGAGAAACAAAATTAACCGAATAAGATATATCGGGACAAGTGATAGTTATGTATTGAAGTGATCCTATGAGTTTGCGATAAGAGGTTGGTTCAGATAGAATAGGATCATAGGAGAATTCTAAAGGAAGCTTGGTATACATTGGATTTGCTAAAGACTTGCATTGCATGAGATTTGCAAGTTGAAGAATGGATTGAGCCTAGTTCTTTTGCGAAAGAAAGTATTGATTTTCATGGAGAGTAATGGTAATGCTGAGGAAGGAGTGTGATTCACCTAGGTGTTTCATAGAAAATTTATTGTTGAGCTGATGTAATAATTTCGATATTGTAGAGGAGTTGTTGCCGGTAATGAGTATATCATCTACGTAAAGAAGAAGAAAAATCTGTGTGGAGGTTTGTTTGAAGATCAAAAGAGAGGGATCAGATTTTCTATGAGAAAGCCCGAGAGAGAGCAAGGTGTTAGTGAAAGTGTTATACCATTGGCGAGGCGCTTGTTTTAGTCTGTAAATGGCTTTCCGTCGGAGACAAATGTGATCCAGAAGGGATGAGTCTTCGAACCCTTTGAGTTGATGCATGTAAACAGTTTCAGTTAAAATCTTCATGCAAGAAAGCATTTTCGACATCAAGTTGCTGGGCAGGCCACCCATAACGAAGAGCTATGGTGAGAAGTATGCGAATTATAAGAAGCTTTGCGACAGGGTTGAAAGTTGCACCGTAGTCGATACCATATTCTTGTCTATTTCCCTTAGCGACCAGACGAGCTTTGAATCTGGCGATGGAACTATCTGAGTGAACCTTTGTCCGGTAGGTCCATTTGCATCTAAGAATGGATGCCTGAGATGGGAGAGAAATGAGAGTCCAGGTGCCTTATTTTTGGAGGGCAAAGAACTCGTGAGCTATGGATTCTCGCCATTCAACCTGTTTTGCGGCTTCAGTGTAGTTTGTAGGTGTCGGAGGAGTGGAACTAGAGGATTGTTGATGAAGCATATTGAGGCGCTAACGAGGTTTCAGTGAACCAATTTGATACCGGGTAACCATGGGATGATAATTAAGTGTTGGTTGAGGAGCATTGTTAGTAGGATTTATTTGTTGTTGTGGTTCAACAACAGAAATGGTGTAATTTTCTGTTTCAGAAGAAGGAATTGATGTAGGGATGTGAGACAAAGGGCGGGAAATAGAGAGTTGGCTAGTGGGAATTGTGGTTGAGTGTGGTATGAGGGAAGTGGGAGTTAACAGAGATGGAGTGAGGCTAGGATTATTGGAAGAAGTTGGGGAAACTTTGTTTTGGAAAGGAAAAAGAGGTTTCATTAAACGAAACATGTCGTGAGAGATGAATGTGATTAGTTAGTTGGTTGAGGTACTTGTACCCTTTGTACATGTCCGAATAGCAGAGAAATATGCATGACTTTGCTTTTGGTTGAAATTTATGGCGACTATTTGGAGGGGATAATGAAAAGCACTCACAACCAAATGTGTGAAGGTGCAAGTATGTAGGATTTTGATTGTATAATAGTTGAAAGGAAGAGAAATATTTTGTAGTCTTGGTTGGCATTCGGTTAATGAGGTAGACGGCGGTGAGAGTTTCTTCTGTCCAGTGACTGTAGGGAACATATGTGGTTGGCATGAGAGTGCGAGTCGTATCAAGAATATGTTGATGCTTGCGTTCAACGGATCCATATTGTTCGGGGGTGTAAGGGCAGGACACCTGATGATGAATACCATTTTGTTAAAGAAAATTGCTAAGCATTTTATTTAAGTATTCTGATCCACCATCTGTGCCCAAACATTTAATTTAAGACAAAAGTTGATTTTTCATGAACATTTTGAAGTTAATAAAGATTTGTGCAACTTCAGATTTGTTGTGTCGGGTAATAGAGCAGAAGTTTGTTGCAGTGAGAGTGGAAGTGGAGGAGTTTACCGACCGAGCGTGAATATAGTAGAGACCTTCATGGTAGGGGCCATGTAGCAGAGTTTGATGCGACCTCAAATCCTTAAAAGTGAAACCAGATGGATCAAAGATTATGTAAATATTATTATCCTTTTGTTAGATGAGAAATAGAAAGGAGATTATATTGATGATTAGGAATGTGTAAGAGATTTTTGAGATATAGCTTACGGGGCGGCATTGGCAAGATGCCTTATCCAGAATTTGCAATTGGAACCGATCGTCCGTCGCCCACTATAATAGTGTCCATGCATTGATATGAAGTTGCAATGGATAGTCGATTAAGAGCATTTGTCATGTGAGATGACACCCCTGAGTCCAAATACCAATCCGTAGCGGGCTAATCGGAGGTGGCAGCAAGTGCGTGATTTGAGTTGGGACAAGTTTGAGGAACATACTGCAGATTGGTCCTATGCCAACACTCCGAAGCCGAATGGACTTTCTTTGTGCAAATTTGGTAGATTAGAGTGGCATATGAGGATCTTGAAGAATTGGGAACAGTGGGTGATGCTCGGCCATGATTCTTAAGGCCCCTTCCTCTTGAAGAATATAAGATTTGGATTTAAGTTATTTGTGTCCACGAGGCATCCATGGCGATGTTGATTTCTTCGCTTAGAAGAAGGGCATACATGTTGTCTAAACTTATGGGAGTAAGTATGGTGCGTATGGATGTTTTGAAAGATTGGTAAGAGACGGGTAAGCCATTCAAGATGTAAATAATTATGTCCTCGAAGTCAATCGTCGAACCGACTACGGCAATTTGATCGAAGATTGTTTTAATTTCAGTCAGGTATTAGGTCATGGTCGAATTTTGCATGGATATGTTGTGAAGCTCGTTCTTAAGCTGAATGTCCCGAGACTGGGTTGTGGATTGAAACTGAGTTTCAAGTGCATTTTAGATGGCTTTATGGATTCAAGATGGAGAATAAAGGGAAGAACAGAGGTG